CATTTTGTAATTAGGTGTAGGCTGCACGTTAGTTGTTTAGGTCATATTTAACATATCTAAAAGGTGTGATGTGAGAACAAAAGCCGCTTCTCCTGCATTTGGACGAGGGTTTTTGTTCTCTCCTCATCTTTGTTTGTTTAAAGTTCAAAATGTGCCCTTGTATCATCATTTTAAAATGTCAATTGGTTTACTGTTTGCACTGGTTTCCTAAAATTAATTCTAGTTCAATTATAGCAACATAATAACACAATTCACGTATAAATAATGTCAAACCTTTCTTCGTCACAGATGCCTACAGTTAAGGTCCACTCAGAAATAAATTTTCTTTACCAACTTCACACATTCTATGATACAAATTTAGCATTTTCCATCCATCCATCCATCTTCTTCCCCTTTATCCATTTCTGGGTCGGGGGGGGTGTCAGTCAGAGATGCACCCAGTACACAGAGCACCAGCCCCCCACTGATCCTCCTGCAGGTGGTGAGGCCACAGGAGCTGCGATCTTTCAGTGGGGGCTTCAGGCAAAGTGGGGTTAAGTGACTTGCCCAACGACAGCAGTGGGAGTCATGAAGTAGGTCTCATGGTGGGCTCGAACTCGCAACCTTCAGGCTCAAAGGCCAATGCTTTACCAACTGAGCCAACGTCGCCCCAATTTCCATTTGCGAAAATATTGATATTCTGACTTTTTCTTGGTCAAATTAGCTTTTTCAACACCCTGGGGAAAACTGTGAGTGAGGGTCTGGAAAGAAAAAAAGTGGTGAGAATATTCTCCTTCAAGTGTGATTGGATTGAACAAGATGAATTGCCGAGACAAGAATTCATCCAATTACATCGCACGGTCCTAGTTTAGCCACTTTTCTCTTGGTCAACAGCCATTAGGGTCAGTGGAGGAGTTTTACAATGTGAGAGGGACAGGGAACCCTGCATTATTTTATATACCCATTCATGTTAGAATGATGACAACTGTTGCCATAGTGACCAAATCAAAAGTAAATTGTCAATCTCACATGATTGCATAAAATATACCTTTTTTAAAGTAATGGCCTCGCTGTGACAGTGACTGCAGTGTACCTGGGAGAGACTTCAACAAAGAGCTTTACAAGTGCGCAGCATCACTATTAATACCCACTGTTCAGAGTTTTTCTAAGTGAATAGGTGAAACTAAATAACATTGTTATTTTAAATATTACCTCAATCAATCCCATAAAACCAAAAGCCACTTTTCTAGTTTACGGATTTTAAATATGCAAACAGTTTATAATTTGTAACTAAAAATAATGGTTGCCTCACACCAGTACATCCGGGACATGCAATGTAAGTTCCATTTCAACCAACTCGGACCAACTGAGGAGCACAGGGACTGGTCTCCTTCTGGTGCCCAGAGTCAGAACTGGGAGAGCAGCATTTCATATTAATGCAACTAAAATCTGGAACAGTCTTCCTGAAAATGTGAGACAGGCTGTTCAAATCCTGGTTAAAAACAGTTTGTTTTTAACCTGGATTTGAACTGAGGGATTTTATCTTCACTTTTTTGAATGTACTGTGATTATTTATGATTGTACTGCCTTGAATGTTTTCTATCTGGGTTAGGTTGGTGAAGCACTTTGAGTTGTGTTGTGTGTGAACTGCGCTATACAAATAAACTTGCCATCGCATTTTTGATATAATGATTTCAGTGAATGACCATGTGTCTCCGGCCACTCTGAGACACTGCGCCAGTGAGCTTACTCCTGTGTTCACTGACATTTTCAACACCTCTCTGCAGTCCTGCCATGTCCCGGCATGCTTCAAATCCTCCATCATTGTCCCCGTCCCGAAGAAGCCCAGGATCACAGGACTCAACGACTACAGACCTGTAGCACTTACCTCTGTCGTCATGAAGTAATTTGAACGCCTGGTTCTCTCCCATCTCAAGTCTTTCACCTCCCCCCTCCTGGACCCCCTGCAGTTCGCCTACAGAGCCAACAGATCTGTAGACGACGCCATTAACCTGGCCCTCCACCACATCCTACAGCACCTGGACTCCCCGGGGACCTACGCCAGGGTCCTGTTCGTGGACTTCAGCTCTGCCTTCAACACAATCCTGACATCCCTGCTCCAGGACAAGCTCTCCCAGCTCAACGTGCCCGATTCCACCTGCAGGTGGATCACTGACTTCCTGACGGACTCATCTCCAACAACGATGAGTCCGCCTACAGGAGGGAGGTGGACCGGCTGGTGTCTTGGTGCAGTGGTAACAACCTGGAGCTGAACGCCCAGAAGACAGTGGAGATGATTGTGGACTTCAGGAAGAGCACTGTCCCCCTGCCCCCACCCTCCGTGATGGACTCCCCCATCACCTCTGTGGAGTCCTTCCGTTTCCTGGGCACCACCATCACCCAGGACCTCAAGTGGGAGCCAACCATCAGCTCCCTCATCAAGAAGGTCCAGCAGAGGATGTACTTCCTGCGGCAGCTCAGGAAAGCCAAGCTGCCTGCACAGATGTTGGTGCAGTTCTACACGGCCATCATCGAGTCCATCCTCACCTCCTCCGTCACCGTGTGGTTCGCTGGAGCCACAGTCAGGGACAAACAGAGACTACAGCGCATTGTGCGCTCTGCAGAGAAAGTGATCGGCCGCAGCCTTTCATCGCTGCAGGACCTGTACGTCGCCCGAGCTCGAGGCCGGGCTGGTCGTATCACAGCCGACCCCTCTCACCCTGCACATGGACTATTCCAACCACTCCCCTCAGGCAGGAGACTGCGGTCCATCAGGACTAGAACCTCCCGCCACAAGAACAGTTTCTTCCCCTCTGCTGTTGGACTCTTGAACACTTCTTAACCTGTCCCCCCGCCCTTGATAAAGTCACTTTACAGCCCATCATACGTCACTTTACTTCACTGTACTGCTGTCACCTTACATTGTGTGCACCATGTGCACTTGCATATTGTAAATAGTAACTGTTACTCTATTTTAAATTTAAATGTATTCTTTAGAAGTGTTTTTTATTCTTATTTTTATTATCTCTTTTTGACTGTTGCACTGAGCCAAAGCAATTTCCAAGTCTGTGACCTCCTGTTACTTACGTGGCAATAAAAATGATTTTGATTCTGATTCTGATTCTGAAAGCCAAACAGTTTGAGTAAATAAAGGATGACATACATATTGAAACTAGGATCCAAACACACAATGAACCAAGAATCCAGTTTGAATTCAATTAACAAGTCTTCATATCAGTGTCAAAATGTTGAAGAATATTCATCGTGGTCTTTAACGACGGCCAAGAGACGAGCCGAGCAGACCGCCCCACAGCCCACACATCTTTCACTCAAATAGAATGTAATCCACGGTAGCTCCAGCGTTTTCTTTGGACACTTCTCCACACACTCTGCAGTGATTTGCACATGTGGTGAGAGAGTTTCATACATCTTTCAGCAAAACCATATTGTGTGGCCGTAAAAGGAGAAGAGCAGGACAATAAATGTTATGAAATTCGACTATGCGCTGCAACCAGTTGGAACACATTAGCCGCTCTTTGGTGGTTGCAAACGGGAGTCCAAAGTGAGGTTGTTTTTGGAACGCTTGATGAAACTTTGTGGTATTAGAAACTGTTTTAAATGGTTTAAATAAATCATGAAAAAGAGTGGATATTAATGTTATTTGGTAAAGATAAATGCAAGGTCATCTCAGAAAACTTTATAAGTCCCACATTGGGGATATTTCAATGATGCAACCACAGAGAGCTCACCCATAGTGTTTGCAGAATGCTGAAGAAGCTGATTTGAATTTAAGAAAGCTGGAGCAAATTTCCTTATATGGACAATGTTAGCTTCACGCCATAACAGGAGCAGACGTGTTGCTAAGATTGTTGCTAAGGCAAGCTGGAGTTTGCCTTAGTAATGAAGGCATCTGATTGGTCAATCTTTATATAGCTCTTGTTTGGATTTACAACAACAATATCCAATTATACACACCAGGATAAAAAAATAGTGTTGGAATAGCAAGTTGGAACATTCTTTTTTTAGCCATTAGCACTTCCCTGTTGGGCTTCATTGAGTTGGGGATGAGCATTGTCCATCTGTATACAGTCTATGGTTGCAAACGCACAAAACTAGATCAAATAAAAGGTAAATCTTAAGATATGTTAATGTAAGAAAGACAGAATTATTAATTTCAGTGTGAGGTTGAGTGGAAAACAAACTGTTTCTGAACTAGAAAAACATTTCCAAAGCATTGTGACAAAAGTAGCATTTTGTGACAAAATTAGACACATTCTGAACTACTTCTTTGGAACATGTTCTTGAATGGCAAACACATCAGAAATATGTTTGTTATGTATTTATAAGTTGTACATATTTTCCATTTTGTGCCAAAGTGTAATAATTCACCATTAAGCGTTGATAAATACAATGCATTAAAAGATAACTTTGAAAACTTATATTTATGTCTGTACTTCGATGTACATTGTGAAACCGACAGAGACTTATATAAAGTGACAAATGCCTTTGTTTGCTACAGTGAGCTAATTATAAACATTCATAACAAAGAATGGCTTGTGATAATATTAGTTTCACATTGTAAGTTGGGTTACAGAAAGAAAGAAACAATATTCTAATTTGTCACTTGTATATGACCATATCCGTTTGCTCTGATGGCTACATCTTCAACGTGTTCTGTTATTTGGCAGTAAATTTGAAAAAATAGAAATAAAAAATAGCTCAAGAAGGTGGAAAACTTGGTAGAGAGCAATGTGTAGTTAAATTATTAAATATATGAAGGGGAGTAGAGGACATGCTATGCTTTTAATTAGTATTCACAATTATTCTTGTCCGTGTCAGTTAGCTTCCATTGTTCTCTACTCTCTTCTTTATTTGACTGATAAAGATCCAAGATGAAATTAATAATATACTGTAAATCTAATTTGGCTTTTGTCTCTTTACTGTAACAAACCAAGAGCAGATCCCACACATGTTAAAAAGCACAGTGGAATTCCATATGACAGCACATTGTGTGCTCTTACCCTCCCAGACGCGGGGCTCCACAGATAGTGCAGGCTGATCACGCACAGGGCCAGCACCAGGAAGAGCGTGGCCAGGATGAGGGCCAGACGCTGGGGCCCCTGGAACCTCTTGTGTTTGCCCCCCTCCACCTGCCAACAACATGTCATCAACATAATGAGGCCACTAAACAGGAACGGGTGGCATCAAAGTCTAATCTCAGTCTGCTGCTCTGCAATTGTTGCTCCGTGACAGACGCTATATATAATTTTCCTACTGCCACACTTCCTGTAAAGCCTCTGATGATAAAAATATTCACACTAAACTTAATGCTGGAGTACTCAACTTTTGTACATAAAAGACACATTTTGTTATAGGCAAGAGTAAGCGCTGCTGTGGGTCGGTTATGTGAGTCAGGTGCTCTTCAGGATCCAAAATGTAAAAAGCTAAATTTTGAAAGAAAAAAATTTTGAGAAAAAAAGAAGGACCGAGGCACGACTGACTTGAAAGTAAAAATCCTTTATTTTTACGGGACACCATCTGAAAATATTAATAGTCAGTTGTGCCTTGGATCTTATTTTTCTCTCTAATACATTTTGTTTGTCTCAACAGAAAGAGTTTTGTATGTTTTTTTTTGGGAACATGAGACCACATCACGCTGACTTTATTGAATTGGAAAAACGTTTATCTTTATATTGGTGAATGTGTCAGAAAGAGCCTTTTCAGTCACTATTTGAGGCTTTTAGCTGAGAGCTGATTGGCTGAACAAGTTTTATCCTCTCTTTTTCTCTTTTCTGTCTGACAAAACTGATCTGAAGGAGTGACAGAACGAAAAATATATAAAAACTAGGGATAGATTGTTTTGGTGGTGCAGAAATCGTCAAAATGGCTCATAGTGTTGAAACTGCGTAAAGACGGAACCAGCTCTGTAAATGTTTGGAGCTGAAGACAACTCTGATTCGCCTGAGGGCAGCTCTGTCAGGCTACACCTGGAAAAAAACCTCCTTTCACTAAAAATTCCTTTCCTTACCTGAGATAAAAAGTAAAATCAATTTGTGTTCCATTTTCAATAGACCAATTGCATTCCTCACTGTGCATTTTCCAAAAGAGATACAGAGTGTTGTGTAATGCGACAGTATATGGAGAAAGCACATATTTTCAGTTCCAATTTAAAACCAGAGAATGTCCCTGAAGCTGTAATTTCCACATCTTTCGAGACCACAACAGTTGTAGACTTGAAGAGGTGGCTGAGATGTAGAGATGGCAGTTTGAAGGGGAAGAAAAAGGACCTGATTCAGAGGTGAGTGGCCACGCGTGTCACTGACCTCTGAGCAGCCTCAAATACTGTCCAGTTTTAGATACTTTTAAACTGGAAAAAATTACATCAGAGATAGATGATGTAAAGTGTTTTGTGAGTGTCTGAAAGGCACTATGTATCCAGTTAATAATTTAGTGTTTTAAATTTTAAGGTATAAATTATACTTAATCTGCCCACACCATACTCATTATTTCATTATTATTTTAAAATCATAACAATGCTCAGTGATACATGGTAAAGTGTATGGTATGGTTTTGTCAAAAAAAAAGTCCACACCATTATTCATGACTCTCTTTAAACTGATATAAAACTGAGATAAAACTGATACAATCAATATACTTATAAATGTTTATTATAATACTTTACAGACATACAGTAAAGTGTGTGGTGGATCCTGACCATGTGCCTTCACTGAGATAGTGGCATCAGCACTGACACTTTAGATCGGGGTGTCCAAACTTTTAGTAAGAGGGCCAATTTGGTTCATTCGATTTGACCTGCGGCCGACAACCTGGATTTAAAAACTGGATTTGAGCTGGATTGACTGGATTTTGGAATTTTAAACGGGTTATGATACGTTCATACCACAGCTGCATATTTTTTTTGGAATGTTGTGACACAATCATAGAAAACATAACTGTATACAGTATAAGAATAGAGTCAACGACTGGATTCCAGAGGGTCTGAGATTTACAACAAGGTATAGCCTGACTGTATTGGTGGAGCTAAAGTTGGTTGGATGACACTGTCATAGCGCCTCAATGGCGACTTAGTGTTAGCAGCAGAGGGCCACATTAAAGTTTAGACCTAGTTTGTAAGCCTTTCAAGTCCTTGAAAGGCTTGTTATCTATACCTTAAGCATGAGACAATAATATCTCAAGTGAAGATGTCACTGTTCTTTGCACATTGAGACAAATCATATAAAAACCTTGTCTCCTCTTCTTTGATCTTGAGGGACTGGAAAATAAACTGTGTTAAAATCACTGCTGTGTTTTCTCATTTCTTGACACAATATCCAACCATATATAACATTTTGCAAACCACATTTATCTTCACTGTACCAGTAATATTTTGTTATAAATATGAGCACACTTTATTTTAAGGATCACAAACTGTTCCGGCACATTAACTACTATGCTTTGCTATAATTAAAAGCTATTGCGGTGTGGTCAACTCCCTGAGCAATGAAAACTAGTCCTTTGTGCCTTCGCTAACTTCAATGAACAAAATCTTTGTTGCTTGTGATCAACATATTGATACAACTCTATTGTTAAGAGTAGATGGGAATGAGCTGCTGCTTAGAAAATTCCCTCAGAGAACATAAGGGAAATAGGTTTTCTTCCTTCTGGGCCTTGAATTGGAAAATGCTAATAAGTACTGGTTCTTGTTATAAATATAAACACACAGCTACACAATATATGCAAAGTAAAGAAGCATGTTATTCCCCAGGCAGACATACTAGATCGCTGTAAAATGCTATGAAATGTGGATATTGATTTTGCAGTTGTCAAAACTCTCCATAAAATCAAAGTTATCACCATAAAAAATGAACAACTCTTACTGTATGTGTAATTCATAACCATGAGCTGTAATGGGAAGCGTTCCATCATGGGCTACACCTACAACGACACCAGCCGCAAAAGATCCAATCCATCAGCATCGAACTGGGATCAGCAAAGACGTACTTATAAAAACGCAAAAGGTAAATTTATTGCATTCTCAAGATAGCAAACATTAATTTATATGTAAACAATGGCCTTCACCAAGTGGAAAAACACAATACAAAATATATAAGTGTATACAATGACCTATATTTACAGTACACTAGTTTGTCACGAGGACTCCAATTGTGTATCTGTTGTTTGGACTAAGTTGCACGTGGGTTTGGCTCTTTCGAGATGACGCAAATTTAAGTATCTAATGGTTTCTCTGCTAGTCAACTGCCAAACTGAGAATAAAACTTCCACATTGCTCTGGTGCGCAAATATCCTGTCTATTGTGTCTCATTTTCAACACATGCCTTAAACTCGCAAGCATGACTAAGTTGCGACACCAGAACTATTCAACTCCCTGTCAGTCTCCCATTTTACGACCGATTTTGTGCCAGAGTGTAATAATTCACCATTAAGCGTTGATAAATACAGTGCATTAAAAGATAACTTTGAAAACTTATATTTATGTCTGTACTTCAATGTACATTGTGAAACCGACAGAGACTTATGTAAAGAGACAAATGCCTTTGTTTGCTACAGTGAGCTAATTATAAACATTCATAACAAATGGCTTGTGATAATATTAGTTTCACATTGTAAGTTGGGTTACAGAAAGAAAGAAACAATATTCTAATTTGTCACTTGTATATGACCATGTCCATTTGCAAAAACAGTGTGTTTGCCCCCCTCTGATGGCTACATCTTCAACGTGTTCTGTTATTTGGCAGTAAATTTGAAAAAATAAAAATAAAAAATAGCTCAAGAAGGTGAAAAACTTGGTAGAGAGCAATGTGTAGTTAAATTATTAAATATATGAAGGGGAGTAGAGGACATGCTATGCTTTTAATTAGTATTCACAATTATTCTTGTCCGTGTCAGTTAGCTTCTATTGTTCTCTACTCTTTTCTTTATTTGACTGATAATGATACTTTTGCGACACTTTTGCACACACAATATTCTCTGCTCCGTTTGTAAATCCTCGGTGACATTATCCAAATCCAGTCAAATAGCACGTTTGACATGTCGGTATCCTCGAGTGGAAAAAGCACTTGTGCCTGAATGCTACGTTCACAAGGAGGGTTGCGTAAGCAGTGGAAACTTTACTTTTCGGACCAACACTCCCCCATTTCCCCTTCTCCCCTTACTCCACTGTCTGTGTCTGGGCTTTGAATCCACATGAAGGTGCACCACACACACACACACACACACACATCCTACACACTCACGTACACACCCCTCCTACACAGTGCACATACACACACAGACACACAAGCACGCTAACACACACATACACACCCATCCTACACAGCACACACACACACACACACACAAATACACACCCATCTTTCACAGTTCACAGTGCACATACACACACAGACACACACACACATACACGTTTTTGTTACCTGGTGGGTCCCTTTGACAGGGCCGTTCAGAATGGGACCCATAGACATAATCTTTTTTTACCAAGACTTTAAGTAATACAAAACAGTCAATAGAAACCAAACAACTATTTTAAAGGAATTTTATTTTAGATTTTGTTTTCGAATTGCAGTGATTCTATTTTTGACATAGAATTTAATGCCACTCCATGTCCGATGTCTAAGGTCATCTGGTGAGGCATTAATGCAGGCCAGGCAGTGAGACTTCCCAGGGACCTTTCCAGTCTGTATGAAAGGTGTCATGGTCTTCTCCACAGCCTTCACCTCAGATGCAGACCATGGCTTTCTTACACGTTCTAGGGAGAGAAATAAAAATATATTAGCAATATACACTCCCAGGGTGAGGACCAAGCAGCCTGGCTGTAATCCCCCACCTGGTACACTTACCAGAAGGGGCACTGCCACTACCATGGGGTGCATCTGGATGAATGGTTGAAGGTTCTCCGCTTGAAGTTTCTTTTAGCCCGTCCGTTTGTGAGAGGATCTCTACTGCTCTCCCTGTCGCACAGAAAATAAAAATACAAGTGGCCTTTAGGGGAAAAAAATCATACATATTTTAATAATATCAAGAATTACCTTCAGGCTCAATTTGTATCTGGTCGAGGCTCTTTCCTTCGAATTCCGTCACTCTTCCCTGCTCCATGGCCATCAACACTTTGCTGATTTTGGCCAGCTCCAGTGTCCCCTCTGGTAGTCTGTAATATTGCCTGTGGATGCGAATGTCATGGCCGAGGAAGTTGGCAAGTATGTCCATCTCATTCTCTTTCATATTGAGAACTGTAGACATAGTAGCTATGTGCTTTCTAAGTTTGGTTGAGGATAGCATCTCTGGATGCACCGCACCACATTCTTTGGCTACCTGGCGTAGGGAGTCTGATCCCCTGATGTGGGTGTCTGCGCCCGGGCGGGAAAAGAAGTATGGGTTATGGTCAGAGATGGAACAGGCCCTTCTGTTCTCCACCAGCACCTCCATCGAAGCAATCATTTCAGGAGTCAAAAGAACCGGCACTTTCCGACTTCTTTTCCCTTTAATTTCAATGCGTTGAAAATGCTGACACAGCTTTTTCTCAAGTTGGGACAGTCCCAGAGCAATGTCAGAATGGATCCCAGTCTTACTTCTTAAGGTAAAGGCTGTCAGTGGCATCTTTGAAACCTCACCTTCCGTTCTTCGATTGAAAATGATGACCTCACAAAGAGTCAAAACTGCCAGTTTAGACCAATGCTTAGACGTTGGCTCACTTATTAGGGTTTGCACATATTCAGGTCGACATACCTCAATATGTGCATGCATGGCTCTAACGTCCTCAGTCAGAGGGAGCAGGTCCGGAGTGTTCCACTTGGCTTGCCGGAGGGTCTGTAGGGCAGCAGAAGAAACACAGACGTCCCACCTCTTCTCAAAAAGCAGCCGGCTTCGTTGGAGGTTTTTAATAAATAGTTCATCAACACAATGCTCCATTTTTGAGTCACATTCAAGAATATCTGCTAGCTTTCTGAGGCTATGGCCGAGTTTGAGGGCCAAGGATGGAGTCTTGTATTGATTTGTTTCCTCATCATATCCAGCCACAGACCTGACTGCATCAATCACATGGTTAAAGTTGGAAGGAATAAAGAAATCCTTAATTGTTTTCAGTTTCCCTGCGGTTTTTGCTTCGTTAATTAACCTACCGACTTCTCTCATTTTCTGCCTAATGTAATCATGCTTTGTCTTATCATGCCCGTGTTTTAAGTACAGGTGCTCTCCGAGTCTCAGAATCCCCTTTTCTGCTTTGACAACACCCGTGACCTCATCCTGATGCATTGCCGAAATTAAAGACCACAGCTTTTTGCTGATGCCCTCCGGTACAGGCTGGGCTAGGGAGCAGAGGGACTGGACCCTACTTCTACCTGGTTTAGCCTGGGCATCTTTCTGTGAAAGCCGGCACCTGGCCACATGCCTCCACAGCGACTTTCGCTTAAGCAATGCCCCACAGTCTATACAGTGCAAAAAGTCACTGGATTTAACTGGGCAATTTGGCTGTTTAGCTGGGACTAAAGTTCCAATGCCGGCCTTTAAAACCTCAAAATTGTGCTCACGGTTTCCACTATTCCTGATCAAATCAAACTGAAGTTTACGTGCTTTAGATTTCACAGGTAGAGCCAATGCTCTGGCTACGTCACTTTCATTTCCATGTTTTCTAGTCAAATGACGGGACATTTTGTGGCAGGACATTGAACAGTAGAGGCAGAAGTGTCTCTTGCTGTATACTCGCCCCCCATTTTTCTTCTTTTGCAGCTGCATGATAACAATCTTATTTGCCTTTGGTTCGTCACTTTCCGAGTCTTGAAGAAAAGTGTTTTTGATTTTTCTTTTTCCATACTTTTTTACAGGTTTCTTCTTGACAGTTAAATCGTCAGAATCTGAGTCGACTTCATCAATTAGGGACTCTTGACTAAGCTGCACAAACAACAAATAATTTGTAATCATTCTATATAACAATTTGAAGTCATGACTTGTAGTCAGCACTTACCAGTGGTTTGTAAGCGTGCGCTTCAGTGTGCTCCTCCATGATTTCTTGCAGCCTAATGAACCACACACTTGCACCTTTTTCTAGCCTGACACCATTTCCTCTGTTGTGCTGCTCCATGATTGGCTCCAGCCTGCTGGACTGAAATTGCCCCAGTGTGCCCCTCCTTGATATCCCGCAACCCACCACCAGGGTTCCGACACATAACACACTTTTTTCAGGAAAGTAAACCTCCAGGGGTCCTTTCCATATTTTTACAGAGACTGCATAAGGACCGTTAGAAAAGCATTACCCATTGATTATTAAGCTTGGACCAGTGGGGTCCGGTGTTCGGGCCCCACCACGTAAAACCAGTCCCCATGACGTGAGTGGAATCTCAGGTTATGGAACCCACCAGGAGTTGAAAACAAGTGCACACGAGCATACTAACACACACACACACACACCCATCCTACTCACGCACACACATACACACGCACACTAAAATAAAGATGGAAGTGTGTGCTACTGCAGAAGTATAGCAGCGGCTGCAGAACTGTTTAAAGGTTTTAGAGTTCAGAGCCGACCCATTCCTCCAGAACTCTGTGAGGGGGGCCGCTGGGAGACCCCTGCAGTTATCTTGCAAGCAGAAGCACTTGCACCAAAAGAATGAGGTGAGAAATAGGATCCAGAGAAGACAATTTTGGACAGTCTGATTGAGTTACTGTATATGTGGACAATTGTGTGACAGAGATTTAGGGAGCAGTTGCAGACCTTAAAAAAACTATAGGGCTATAGATATTTTTCAGGATGTGAGTTTTGAGTCCGCCAGAGGTTTCTAGAAGTCTTTTTGTTTGACACCTCTGCATTTTTGAGTTCTTTTGAGGTAATTATACACGTGTTCTTACTGTGGCTTTTGCCGTATATGTGCAGTGTAGTGGGGGTAATTAGCAGCCTGCAAATATAGACTGCAAATAAGGAGTAGATTTAACTGGATAGCCTGCTGCCACGCACTTGCCAATAGGAAGTGACCATGTGGGAAAAGTGGATGCAGAAGCCAGGTTGCAAATCTTATTGAATTCGGCAAATACTGAAACCCAATTTTTTTGAAACGTTCTGGTTTTGAAACCTTCTGGTTTTAACACAAACAGTTTTTTGTCTGATGAAGTGTCTGATAACTGATGGGTTCCAGTTAGCATGGGTTGACTGGAAATTGAAATAAAAAATATGGGGTCTAGTTGCAGATTAGCTGATGCCTGATTGCCCTGAATGCCGTGGGTGATGTCACACTCACTCAGGCCAGTCCAGTTTACCACCACCAAGGAGGTTGTGTTTTCATCAAGGTGTATGTGTCAGCCAGCAACATAACTCAAAACATTAATGGATTGTAATGACATTTTCATTAAATCTTGGTTCAAAAATACTGTGTTGATAGTCTGGATCACCATCAGGATTTTTTTTTAAGAAATGGAATTGTGCCTCTTGTGCCCCCGAGTGCTTTCTAGTTACAGTTTATGCAGCTAACACATTGACCATCTGTCCAGACTCCCTCACATTCACTTTCTACCAGCCATGAGCCATACGTCACACAACCTGCCCTCAAGCCCCCAGGTATTACAACATAAGAGACAACGAGACCAAAAAATATGAACTTCTGAATTATGTATTGGACCTTAGCCATTTGAACTTAACTTAAGCATCTGTATGTTTTGATATGTGGGTGCAGTCTTTTTCATAACTCTCTCTTTGCTATATTATTTATACAAGGAGCCAATTTTCCAACCTGCAATTTTATAAGTCCAACCTCTGGACTTATAATATCACCAGTGGCAGACGGACAGAGAACGATTTTAAAAGATAATGACACCGCGCAGTGTGCTCAGCAACAAGTGGATAATGAAAAGAACTGCCGACTTGAGAGGAGATAAATCCCCCTGCTCCTCTGGTGCATAGAGTCAAATAAAGACAATGAGCATTTGAATACAGCCTGAGTGAGTCCAGAGGTGGGATATTGGAGATACGGGGCAAACAGTACTGTTGTGCAGGAAATAAGGGCAAGATGAAACGCAAATAGGGATTAGGCGGAAAAATGAAGAGAGAGGAGCATCACTTTACAACTGCAGTTATGACTTTCATGTACATTTACTTAAGGACTTACATCTACAAGTCTCAATATGGTATTGTTATACAGATGTAGAGGACTCAACGGAAGTATGATAAAATAAGTTATAGCAGTAGTAGTAAAAGCAGGAGTAGTTTTGGCTGTTTAGCTATATCTCAACTTTCATTTTGAGCTCTCACAAATCAGTTTAAGTAAGTAAGGTTTATTTATATAGCGCATTTTTACAGACCAAGAATGTCTCTAAGATAATCCAATCAACTTCATTTATATTTTTTGTTTCCAAAGTGCTGCACGGATAAAAGTAACACATTTAAATATACAAAACAGAATAAGTAAAAACTACTTTCTTTTTATTAAAAACAACAAAATACCTGTAAATAAAATACATTAAATGGATAAAAGAGAAGACCACACAACTCTCGTGGTGTTAAAAGCCAGAGAGTAAAAATGGGTCATGAGACGAGACTTAAAACATTCCAAAGATAAGAATAAGAAAGACAAATCAAATCACAGAGCAACCACATTTTCACTCATATTTTCTTCTTATTATTATTATGGCAACTGTTCACCATTATATCTTTGAAATATAAAGTTAAAACGTACAAATACTATTATTCATCACTCACATCTTTCCAAAGCATCTGGTGGCTCCTGGACTCACTGCACGCCTCCATAGCTCAAACTTCTGGGATGAACTTCTTTCTAGGGAAAATACAATCTGCGAGCTGGAGTGAAGTCCCGGCTCTGTGCCCTTCTGCTCTGCAATTTGGGAGTGCACTTGCAAAGAGGGGAGGGAATTTTCACAGTTTTTTCCCCCTTCTTGCTGTAGGTACAAGGAGTGGAATTACTTCAGCATTTGTGATAGCGATTAGGCAAAGGTATGTTTCGTCTTTTTTCAGCAGCGACTACACTGCATAAATGACAGGATAAGGCGTTCTTAAGGTGCACAGTTCGCAGATGGAATAGGAGCTAAACTGTGCATACACACCTTGCACTAGTCATCAACATAGACTAAACAAAAGTTTCTTAAAAGTGAGAGAACAATTTGCACACAAAAAAAAGCTGCCACATGAAATACATGATTTTGCTCTCGTTTGCAAAGAAAAGTTTTGAAAGGTTGTCTGGGGTTATGAAGTTCTGTCTTAATACTGGCGCTGCAGAGAAAAAGTTGAAAAAGAACCTAGAGTTGATCATTAAGGACACGTTCACACTTCCATGATTAACACATGCAAATTGGGACGGAACAGAGATTGAAATTCAGAAATACATCTGGACTGAACCGGGACCAGAGTCTGTTTGGACCCAACAGGCTGGAGCAACACAAGTCCAGTGTGAATGTGGCATTGTGGGAGTTATTAAAGCTGGGATACCTGACTTTCAAAACACAACAAATCGAGCTACATAATCAAATCCAAGAGTTTTGTCCTATCACTACTGTCCTGGAGAGAAAATTATTCTCTGCTTTGTTTTCTCTCATTCAGGTTGGTGAAAAAAAATGTTAATGCGCCAGAAGGCATTTATATAAAGTTACGGTACGTGGCCACAAGGCTAATGGTTCAACCAAGTCTTCCTCAGTCTTAGCTGCTAATACAAAGTGAGCACTAACAGATATAACGTAGGTGCTTTCCCTTGGGGCGGGTTTTCCCAGACAGCGTTGCTTCTTTCGTTCACTGCAAATTCCATCTGTTTTATTTCTACAGCACTCTTTATGAACAAAGACCAAGGTGCTGCACATACAGTAGATGAATTAACAATACAATTCACTCGCAAATTAAAGATGTAGTCAGTGATTTTTTCCAGACGCATTTTTTACCCTAAAAGTTGTCAAGTTATCATGTGTTTTCAAATAGTCATGGAATTGACCAGATGCCTATAGTTCACAAAATTAATAAAAAACATTTTGGAGCGGACCGATACAAATGAAACCAATGGGATTCGTTTACCCCCTTCATCCTCTTCCTGTTTCTTGCCAGTGTCCGTACCTGAGTTATCGGACACTGGATGGTTGGTTTAGTGGAGAGGCGAGTGGAGGGGGGGTGTCTTTTCGAGTTGATGCTACGGCTAAGCTAACAAAATCGCTCACTGCACCTTTAAGTGAAACCTTAGTATTTTAAATTCGCTTTTTCAGACAGGATGGGTGAACCTATCATCTCTCTGGTCTAATAGGGCTTTTCTTTTTGTTTTGTATGCAAAAAATAAATAAAAATAATAATAATTCTAATAAGATAAGCATTTTGTCGTCTGATTTATTCACATTTATCTATATAAGACTCTTTCGTGTGGGATGAACAAAATGTGTAGGTATCCCAACGTTAGGTATCCCAGGGAGAAACGTGACAATCATATCAAAAAGAGTATCAGTTTGACTTTGACTCGACACGCTCCTGGTTGTAGACTAACAAATAGGAATCATGATTGAAAAAAAGAAACTGGGGAAATATCATGTGTGACATTCAAACATTAAGATAAGGCCATTACATTAATAAACATGAGAGTTTTACTGAGTTAAGTGGACGGTTTTGTGGACGACTCATTGCAAACAACAACAACAACGGCAAGTAGAACTGATCGTACGATGGCAATGGGATAATTTCAATTCCTTCTAAATGTCAAGCATCAATTATGTATTTTCACGGAACAACTCTTATATTGACAAAAAATAAATAGTTTGTCCCAGTGTGCTCCATTGGCTGCTTTATTTTACAAGCAATCCACATTATAGGCCTTTTTACAGCACCTATTTTGGCCAGTTTTGTCACCTTGAGATCACACTTTTATGCATTTAATATGGATTCCAAATTCTCCTACAATGTCTTCAAGAGCGAACTGCTGTTGAACTTGTACCCAAGCAATAATACATGTATGATGGATGTTGCCCTGTGGGGTTGTTATATGCGTTTATCCTTGATGCGTTTGGTGATCCGTGCTCCTATAAAAATCCTCCAGCACTGGTGTGTAATCCCAAAGTCAAGGTTTGTTTATGGCAGCACATTAGGCTTTTGTTCACTTGGAGAATTACTGTGATCCTTCCTCGAGGTAAGTGCGAGTAAATAGCGACTGACATGTGACAAGGAGATGCAGGTGAATGTGTTTATGTAGGATGAAGGTCAGACGAGGCGTGTGCTGCTGCTTTTTGGAGAGTAGCCAGCCTTTGGAAAACTTCTCCTACTGTACTTCACTTCTTTAACTTTTACTGGCAACAAATATTCTCCATAATTGTGCATACAGCAATAATCAAACAAGAAGAGCACCGAACCAAATATGACTAGGGATCATTTGTTGTTTCCAAAAGCAGGTACTTACTGTCTACTAAAATACATATTATAGTGCATCTAAAAATGCACTGGCTTTCTGTGGTTCTGTGGACTTTAAAGCAGCTCTGTTTGTATACAAATACATCAGTGATATGGAACAGTTGTCCCGAAAACGTGCGATAGACTTCTACACATGTTCAAACCCAGATTAAAAACACTTCTGTTCAGCTGTGCATTCACCTGAAGGTCTGTATCTTCACTCTTTTTAATAGATTGTGATTATTTATGCATTGCACTTTGCCTTGTGCATGAACAGTGCTAAAAAAATAAACTTGCCCAAAAGAAGTGTTTTAAAAAATCCAAATATTTAGTTGCTCTTGGTGGCATCAAGGTGTTTTTATAAAGCAGAGAATAGGACAACATCTGCTGCTGTAGAAAAGGGGAAACAGTTTGTACAACTACCATGGCGACAACACGACTGTCAAACAGAACTAACACAAATTAAACAAAACACAACAGTTATTTGTGTTACTTTTTAAGGTTCTGTGACTCACTGAAAACATTCACGATATGGGAAGTTTTGCAAAATTAGCAAAATGTGCTGAGGAGTCCACAAGGCATCTGAAACCAGATGCCCACTTGATGACCACTTCAAGCTTTTTTCTCCTCACCTCATATGTAATGTAAGGGAGTGTCCAGTCGCTGTCCAGTCAACATGGTTGAACAATGCAATATCAATTCATAATTTCCCTCCTCAGTCTCAGTTTTTCACAAAGAAAACATGTCTGTAATGTCTTGTCTGTTTCAGCCCCACGTCTCCTTCTACTGTCTCTGATCAGGAGACTGCAGGCACACCGCTCAGATCAGGACACTGCCACTGACAGGACCACTGAAGCTGGGGTGGACTCGGCTAACTTTGAAATCTTTGTCTAAAAGTCAACTTTGAAATCTTTTTCTCAAAGTTAGCTAAGAAGTTGGGACATTCCAACAGTACCAATGACATGCAACAGCAGTTGGCAGGCAGTGGTCTGTCAGACATTGATTTTTATTTTAGCTGCACAGTGGCCCTTATGGACTCCTTCTATTACCCAGCATGCCATTGGTCTAGGTACAGGAGATTCTTCCGGACGTTTTTATTTCTTTTTTACCTGCTTATGACTAATTGACAAGTATGTAGTGCCCTTTGAGATGACTACTGCTGTGATTTTGGCCTCAAAAAAAACAAAAAAAGATTAGACTCAGTTAGCCACCTCCACTCTAGGCCCCACACGGGGGTCTGAAATGTTTTCTCAAACTATGTCACAACCCAAAGTCCCAACAATCAATTTAACATATGCAGGAAGCAACACAAAAATTGTCAGCACTTTATTAATAACACAATTTCAACATTTACAAAGTTCCACTTCACATTTGATTTTTACCTCTGAGCCAGAACACTCCGCTGGTTCGACCTGCAATCCCTTGGTACACCCCAGTCCCTTTTAGCGTGTCGCGCCACACTGGAGGCACATATGAAGTCTGTCACATCTGATAGCCACAGGACCTCGTCAGCTCTTTCCCATTGATATAAATCTTCACAATTACCGTGACATTTTGCTTGGGTAAATCAAACGCGGGCTCTTTCTAGAATAGTGTTGTGTCAGCTGCAGACTGGAGCATCCCTGGGACCCTCATTCCCCCTGATAGCATTCAGCGCGGCCACAAACTGGGCCTTTGACACTGCCAGAGGAGAATAAACAGCACTTGGGTTTGGAGTGTCTGCCAGATACTTGCCGATTAGAGGAGCAGGTTGATGTGAGCGTTCAAAGCAAAAGGGAATCCTATAATAAACATTTGCACATCTTCAACACTGCTTCAACACTGTCAAAAATTTCCTGGCAATTTCTAACAGTGAAGCCAATTACAACTCTGGCAGAACAAACCATCATCAAACAACTTTTGTAGTGTGTTGCACAAAACTATAATTGTGTTCGCGGTGTGATCTTAAAAAAAAAAGTTGTCTTGTTGCCAACTCTAAGAAGACTTGTCGGGTAGACACACAACAAAAGTTTGCTGAGGAGTGAGCGAGTGGGAGATTAAGAACTGAGAAACACAAAAGCAGAGTACAGCCGAGATCCAGCCATAACCTCCATTTAGGGACGGGTTGTGTCATGCAAAATCCTCATTGATGCAGTTTTACCTACAAATAAAAGTGTCCCTGCCAGTTTACTCTCAATCGCACTTTCATAGATTCATGAATGTTTGGACTTGGAATATCACAGCTCTTTATATCTTGGAAAAACATCATGGAGAAATAAGTTAAGTGATTTACAGTAGGTTGATGCAATGTAAATGCTGTCTTTCAAATTCATTATATTTCTAGTTTGTTTCTATTCTTCTGGATTTCTTTTATACGTTTGCCCTTACAAAGACGCATTGGT